ATTCCATAGGTTAAATAAATTTATACTTGAAAACGTCTCATTTACATTACATTAAGCTACTTCTCGTTCACTACGCTGACTTCCCTGAGAAGAACGAGCAAGAAACTCTAGGGATTGCTCTTTTCAAATAAACTTAAATGCTATGGAATACACTTTGAATCAAATTTGTGTGGATGGGTGACATGAATTCATGACGTACGTGTAAAGCACTACGCATTTTGTGTAAACTACTGCAGTGCGTAAGGCACATGGAGTACATATATTATAACCAGAAATAGAGACGAGATGTCATTTAATTTGTTTGAAGACTATTTTGCTAAATCATTACGTTGACAACTGCGCTCCAATTAGTCAGCCCGAATTCGAAACAATTGACGGGTGTCGTCAATTGTTTCACTTCAAATCGACTAGTTTATCTTGAGCTTTGCTATAAGGGACGAAAATGAAAAAAATACGTATTTAATCATTGACTTACAAATAAATGGATGACGGGTCTAATACAAAAACCACGAAAAAAATGTCCCAAGTCAACCTATTTAAACGTAGTGACATGTTAAGGAATATGACAAATCTAAAACGTTGAATTTAAATTGTAATGTCATCGCAGTACTGTCTAATTTTGCTTGCTTCGCTGTCAGTCGAACAAACGAAGACTAGAGCGTGAATGACGCTCTGTATACGATTTTAACGCCCTATAAGTTCGGACACTTTAGCGCGGACCCGACGTCCATATAATTGTAAGTGAATGTATTTAATATTTAATTACCGATGAAATGTGATTCCGTTTGTTTTGTAATTAGATGTTTTGCTGTTTTTCCCACACCACCGAATGGAATATAGAGTTATTACCATTGTTATAATAAATACAGAATATTTTTGGAATATACGGAGACGTCCACACAGGTCAGTTGTTGGCGCTGTACTATTTCGGCTTTATAATTTGTAATTTCAGTGCAAACGAGAGTTGATATTTAAAAGTGATATAAGGCCCATTTGCCTGATGAGTTGTTAGGGATAGATGGCCCTTATTTCGTCTCTATTTCTGGTTATATATTCCATAGTGTATAGGATTTTTACGCACTAAAGCGAAAAAAGGTGGCATCAAAAGTGGCTCAAACAGAGTTCTTAAAATGATAGGGGATAGGTGGGACTCCGATCTGCTTGCTAGGTTCACCGCACTTCACATCCTGGGAGCTCGGTGACAGGTATCATGTAATTGAGTTTTTATTGAATGTCAGGATATTTCTCCACCACGATATTCCATACTTTTTTGTGAAGTTACTCCACTAGTTTGTTATAATTATCAATTTAGAAAAAACTCTTTCGATCCGGCCGGATTCGAACCGACGTATCCCAGCAAACCGTGCCAGATGCTATGCCAACTAAGCCACGGAACGAACCAGCGGACCTCATGAAAATTTCTTTGTGCTTGTTGTCGGATCTTTGATTTTGGATTTTTTTTTAGGTATCATGTAGTCATTTCATTCATTTTATTTTCTTTATTTTTATTCTGCAACTTTTGTTCTAACAGTAGAATAGATAGTTAGTAAGTGTACTAACAAAATGGACTGTAAATTGTCTGCAATAAATGATTTTTATTTTATTTTTTATATGTATTAAAAAAAGCTGTATGGTTATTGTAATTCTACGATTCATTTACGTGAGAATTGTTTTTTGGTTATTCTATTTCAAATTGCAGCACAAGTTAACTAAAATAAACATTTCAGAGCATTCCTGGGTGTGAATTATGATGAAACAGCTGTCGTGTAGGTCCTTACCCCTGAGGAATGCGCATTTGCCTTATTTAGAATACTTTTATTAGCTCCTAGTCTTGAGTTTAGTTTAAAAGGCTATTTTTTTACAAAGCATCTTCTTTATCATCGTGTTACGTTACTCATTTGTATATTTTTTATTTATTTCTATTCTATTTTAAATAAAACAGTGATCATACGTCAAAAAACTTTTTTCTAATGCTTTAATCTGTCAAATAGGATTTAATAAACCATGTCACATAGGCGTTTTTTTTAGTTCTGAACCGGAATTTCTCTTGTCTATGGTACAGTCAAGCTTCTTACTTTGTACTTTGGAATGTTCTTATCGTAAGTAGCATAGAGTTGGATTTAAGCCTTAAGTGTCAAGCTTGACGTGCTCTTGATCGTACTTCTAACTGAACTGAAAAAAAACTGTGCACAGAACTATAAAGAATTTCGAAAAAGAACGTCGTATTTTTGCTAATTAAAAGAGCCTCCTTAAACGCGTCACTGTGTTACTGAACAGATTGACGTCATTATATTTGTCAATCCAAATTATTTTACTAAGTAATATCTCAAAATGTTACTTAACACGCACAAAGGCGTAACCATTTCGCAAAAAAGGAGTATTTAAAAACAATATAAAATATCAAAAAATATGACGTTACTAAAACGCTCTACTGCTTCTTGATTGGTTAAAATATAAGCAGTACTTGGCCAATCACGGACACTTCTATTCTATCTCTTTGGTTTTTGTTTGTAGCGTTTATTTAGCTTTCACTTGGTGTCGTGGATTGTTAAAAAAATATTTTGAATATATTGGTTTTGTTTCATTATTTAAATTCAATCGTAGAAAAGGTATTGTACGCGATCAATACATAATCAGGTCTTAAAATCTCGGCTAGGCTTTGTGTATTCGACTTTAAGAATCTTCATTACACATCGATTGCATGAAATAGATATACTATTATCTCACAGTCACAAAAATAATACCAACTATATCCGCTCACGCGATACATGCAGCCGTAGACGCATACCACACCTAGAGGTGCCGGTGATGATTTTATACCGATTTATTTATTTATTTTTATTTATTTATTATCGAATATAATATAACATCCTATATAATAGATAAGTTATAACAAGTAAAAGAACTAATATTAATTGCTATTTCGGTAACTACTCTAGCAAACCATAAAGTTTTTAATGCCTGGGTCTGTCTTTTAAAAAAAATAAACAACTTCAAAAATACGTCACGACAATCGTGTGTGTTATTGTTTGGGCTGGTGATTTCGGTGTTTATTTATTGAAAACATACCGTAAGTAGCATTTTTTAAGTTTACCCTGAATATAAATGTTTATAAACTATACTTTAAGGAGTAATTTCATGGTAAACGTTAGAACCACTCATACGGAATATTATCATATTTATCCAAGTACACCAAAAATTTCATTAGTGCTTTTTAAGTGCAGGATTTGCGGTGTATTATTGCATTTTATTTGAAATGTTTTTGTTGGTAGTACGGAGGGTATTTATTTAGCAATGCAGAATAATAATTTTTATTTATAAAAACTTGTATTTAAACTGAATGCTTTTCTAATTTGCGAAACCAAATAGCCGCCATTTTGCGGTAGGAGGAGCGCATCGCGTGAGCGGATAAGAAACAAATTATGTACATGTATGTAAAATTTTATAACTGTCCTATTTAAGCATAATATATGTTATCGACTAAATTCATTGATAGAATCTTCAGACCTCTCTCCCGAAAAGTTGCAATTTTGCATATGTAACCTTATGACTCCAGGAATGTGGTATAATGTGATAGCCCGAGTGGGTGGTTAGGTACTACATTGTGACGGTGTGACCTCCTTACACCGTTATCTCACCTCTTTGTATCGCCTCTCTCCGCTTGTATCCTATCATTTTTTATTTTTAAATGTATTTAAATTTTAAATTTGAATTGTTCCATCTTCCTACACTTTCTCATTTTGTTTTCGTACCACGATCACTCCCAGCTCGACCGCCACAACAGTCGAAGCTGTTCCAAATTCCATCGCGAATAATCGCTTATTCTGGTTCTTTACTACGTTTGTAATCATTTAATAAGTTAAATCATGTGTAATAATTTATAAGTCTACAGCCTTCGTGTACCTAAATCTGTAATTCAGTTACTCAGCCCAGGGCAGGGGTAAGTGCCTTAATAATAAAGTGTAGGGAGTGTTTTATACTGTTGTACCTGTTTTTTTACATTTACCTTTTTATTGTTACAGCCCTTTCTTTAAACTTTGTTCTTTAATAAATTTTGTGGACCGGAAGTTTCCCATTTCATTGCCGTGAACCTGTTCACGGCTACTTAGGGTTACAACCCTTTCAACTTAATTGATAAGTCGAAGGTTCGAATTCCTGTGGCAGCATTGCATATGACTTTAATTTCTAACTTACATACAATATGTAAATGTTTAGTAGAAGTACCTCTGGCTAACGCTGAAGGAAAACATTGTGATGAAAACTGCATGTCGAAGAAGAAGAAGAAATACTTTTGGAAAACACTTTAAACCTCCAACTTGGTTGAACCTAGCTTAAAGGGCTAAGAGGCACGTGCTCAGCGGCATGATGTACCTATGCAGTAGACGTTAAGAGAACCAGCTTTGGGTTGTTAATTGCGACGTTACTTCTGTCTCTCATCAAACGTCACTTATAAGATTTTTATTTTATAATCGTAATTTTACATCCTTAGTAACACAGCTATTAGAATTACCAGCTGTTGATGATGAGGTCCTGGATAGTAATTTAGGAAACGATTGCGGAATTGTTTCTGGTGTGTGTATTCTGGACAGTTCCCCCGAAGGTAATTTTGTTCCACTAAAACTAAGTGACGGGACGAACAAGTCGTACGCCTGATGGTAAGCAACATGCCTGTCCATAATAGGTACAGTGCCCCTCAGAGCTTTAAATCGCCTGTAATTTCACCAGCTCCCTTACCCTTTGAAACCGGAACGCAGTAATGCTCTCACTAGTACTGCTTGGCGACAGAAATAGGTAAGGTGACAGTAGTTACCAGGACGAACTCTTTCCCTAGGAGCTCTACTGCCAATACAGGGATACTGCTACTATATATATATAGGGAATTCTTTAGTTTGAGACCAGATACATGTTATTCAAATTTTTTGGCTCAAGAAATCAATGGGAATTTTTATTAAGAAGTCAATGCGAACGTTATATGGGTGACATTTGAGAAGTCTAATACTTCAAAGTGTATATGGTTTGTCCTTCTTACCTCGATGTGGCACATAAATGTTCAAATACAAACAATCTTCTGATTCATTTTTGAGGAAGGGTTTAATCTTGTTCATATAGTGTTGTCTACCCAATGTAGGGGGGTTGCCCTTCTTCACAGGGGGTATTGCTTGTGGGCAAACTGGGGCGAACTTTGTTGCTTTTAACACGTTGGACCAGGGTGGGGCACTGACTGGAACAAAAAAATGGTAATTTTAGTTATAGATAAGCATTTAACTATAGTGTCATCTGATGATAAATGACTTTGGTGTGGAGGTTAGCTCATGTTTACCTAGAAAATGCCTAATCACTCTTGCCTTGAAAGCAGAATATTTACTTATAGCCGGAATTAAAATAGACGAAAAAAGAGCTTTATAGGTATGGTCTAATTGGGTCTCAAATACTTACTAATATAAATACTTGAAGACAAAGAGTGATGTTAGGTCTTCTGTTATAATTTTGAATTACATTTGCACGGAGTTCTTCAATTTTCACGATTACTGCATAATAGAAATGGAACTATTTTTTAGGATGTTATCGCGTATATGTCTTCAAAAAACAAATATACTACCTTGACCTTGGGACATGTAAGGAGTCCTTAGATATGAAAAATAAGTTTCATATTAAGTAGCATCATTGGAAACGATACATTGTTTCTTGCGTAGTAGGTTTTTTTTATAATACGAAGAAACCTGGTGGTACGCGACACGCCTGTCCATAACAGTTGTAGTATCACGCAGAGCTTTAAATCACAAAGATCTCAGGGGCTGTAGTACGTACCACATATCCCGTCACCCTGAGACATAAGTTAAACAGTCCCAATAGCTTTTATCACTGCGTGCAAGTCCATTTTAACTGCCCCCATGGCCAAACCATGCCGATCGAACAGATTCGATTCCCGGGCCGGGAGAAATATTTGTATGCCCTACATTTATTCCTCTCGTGAGTTTGGGTGTAATTTGTGTTTGTCTATGTGTGTGTCCATGGCACTCGCGACACAGAGTTTTCCTAGGCGAGGGGCTATGTTGAATGTGTGCGTTGTTAAAATTAAAAAAAATAAAATAAACAACAACATAAATTCTAAATATAATATATCTGTGAATGTTAAAATGTTATTGTGTCTATTATATTTTTAATTGTACTTCATAAAATATGAGTTCAACCACAGACCACATAAATACTCAACACTTCTTAAAGCGCGACTTTTGCACTGCAAGTGTCATTGTTTTATACAGATAGATAATTATACGTTTGATGTCTGAATATCTATTTTTATAGGCCTTCTAATAGTCAATTTAAATTATTCCATTTTACTTCAATTTCAGATTAAAATACTAAACACAAACAAACGTACAGACGCCAGCACATCAAGCTACACATTGACGTATCGTCTTCCGTTGCACTGGAGCCGATTTTCGAACAAAAATGTGTAGTCTGATGTGCCGTTGTCCGTATAACTAACATTGTAATTAAGATTTAACTGCGCCATCAAGATTTCGGTCCTTACAATAAAAAAAAGTTAAAACTTTATACGTCACGATTTGTTAGATAACATCGGTTACCTAATAATTTGCACTGTAGGCGCTGTGTGTGTGATTTCTAATGCTTTAGAGCAACTAATAGTGTAGGACATTTCCTGGTTTAAGATCAGAGAACTACACTACTTAAGTATGGTTCTCTGGCACGTTATTACCAGTCCAATAAATACAACTATTATATTATTTTACTTAACATTCTATTCGCTGTGCCAATGTATTAATATTGTTTCTGTGGTCCTTTCTATGGTGGGCTATGTATTCTCAGAGTCCTCAGATGCTCAGTCATGAACTCTTTTGTCATAAACCTTATTACATTTGTCTCGTTATTATTATAATAGTTATTTTTGATATAAGTGCGGAAAGTTAGTCATTATTCACGAGGCTCGAGGCTTCTTGGTCCGAGCCAGAGGCGAGGGTCAAGACGCGAGACAAGTGAAAATGACAAATCCGCACGTGTATCAAACGACGTTTTTTAATACATTTGCGAAAAAACTACAGTGAAAGTAAAATAAAACAGTATTTAAAAAAAACTCATTTTCTGCTAGTAAATTAAAATAATGAAATACAACCACTGCAACCATTATTTAAAAGTCTATGGAAATATAGTTCTAACGTGCTGTTTTTGTTTATTTTCTGTAATATCGGTCTGTAACCACTTTTCTTATTATGAAGTCCTGGTACTTTTGTTTAAACTTCTTTAGGAACCCGTGCACGGTAGTGAGATACAATTTATCTGTAATACATAAAACAAATATATACATAAAATCTCGCCTGTCACCCATTCAGGGGTAGGCAGAGACCTCCACTCGATACGTACATTATATAGTATTTGTAAATAAATATGTTTTAATGACGAATGACTTACGTCACAAAGCACATAAATATGAAATAAATATACAATCTCTTTAGTTCTATGTTTAAGACTTAAAACAACAGTAAATTTAAAAAAAACTGGAAAAGTAAAAAGCACTATGTAGTGCGAGAAATCCAACTTTCCGCACGATTTGTAGTGCGAAAAATACCACGTTTTGAGCAACTGTATTAAAAATATTATTTCGTTTAAAAATTATTTCTAGTAATTTTGTGCGTTCGTAGATATTATTTTTCGTTTCGTTGATAAACATTCTGCCTGAAAAGAAGTTTATTTCTTATGACTTAGTTTAATCACAACGTACTTTATTTAATACCTACATTAATCAACGTACATCGCCAGGATACAAAATCGTATAACGTAAAAGCAAGCAGAACTTTCAAATGTTTTACGACTGCCATTTAATTCAGACTGACTCATTGAGTTTACTTTTCATCTCTATGTTAATTCTTTCTTTCGTCACCCTTTTTGTTGGGGACACTTTAAGCTTTGTTTGGTTTGTTTCCACTTCAGAAGCTATTATTTGATACTTTTTCTTTGGAGTTATTTCCATTAATTACAACTAAGGCTAATTTATTCATTTTATTTAATTTATCTATTATTACACAGTCATAGTAACTCTGAATAATTTACTTAATGCTGATTGTTCAGCATTCTATAATTCAGTTAAAAATTAGTTCGGAGAGTCATTGTCTTGGACATACAAAAGTACCACTCTTCTACAATGGTGGAGAAAAAATATACATCTATATATTGGAACCCAGGATTAGTAGGAGCCCAGTGGAAGAACGGTGGCTTAATGATGGGCATATACCTATGAATTTAATTTCAAAGTTACATACATTTGAAAATGTTTAGCAATAGCAATAACTACTCTCCAGTGGCGAAGTAAAACATAGTGTTGAAACCTACATGTCAAAGAAGGTTCAAAATCCTTTGAAACCGTGTAAAGCCCCCAAACCGCACTAGACCTTAACCATATTTAGGTGTGTAATTAGCAGTTGATGATTATAATGATAAGAACCCAAGAATAGTTGACAATATCCAAGGTATTTTTCATCCGTGAAAGTGTAGAGTGTAATACGAAATTCCAATAAAATTATAAAAGATTTTTTATAACAAATTACAAATTGTGATTGCTATACAAACACACTTTATTGCTTACCTGGTGGCATGAATCTGAAACTTCCTATAGGCGGGGCAGCATACGGAATTCCAAAGAACATCTCAACGCTTTGCAAATTGTATTGTCTACTAGGCTTTACAATCATCCCTCGCAAAGCTCCTTGCTTTAAGCTGTACTCCCTAGTATATCTTATTTCACTGTCGTCCGAATAAAATTCATCGTACACTCTCGCGCTTGTATTAATAGGTGTAAGGAAGAAAGAGATGCAAATATAAATAGCGGTCGCGTGCCGGTTAGCCATCTTGTTTGCGTCTCAAAATAGTGAATGTTTTATTATTTGTTTGCTCTTTGCTTTTATTGACTGTTTGGAGAGTGAGTTGGTTAAGATTTTCTTTATTGTGCAGCTGTAATTCAGTGTCTGATTTGTTTTGTTATTACGATGGATGGTCGCCTTTGTTTCCGACGGCATCAAAGGTCCTAATTTTATTTTTATCATTGGATAAATCTTAAACTGATTTTGCGTTGACTTTATAAACATCAATGTTTTTCGATTTGATAGTTTAACCGTTTTTGAAATCAAATTTTGTTCTATTATAATGTCTCTCTCTTCTTCTTTATTTTCAGATCCAGAGTATTTAGTACCTTGATTTTTTTATACACTTTCAGTTAGTTTATTTTATATGGCACGTCAATTTTCGTTACAATTATTGCCATCTAAAATCATTTGTTCTATTATTATCACCGGAAATTTAAACTATTCGTTAAAGAATTTCAGTTTTCACACAAAAGTTTCCTTGTCTTTACATTAATTCCTCAACCACACCATTAACACTATTACCACTATTATCTATATTTGTGAACACATAAACCGCCAATACAAATATATAAACCTACGGTTAAATTTAACCCGTTATTAAAAGAGTTAATTAGTAAAATCGCGATGAATATTAACCACACGAGAGCTGCGCGTGCGACTGGAGCGCGGCCAAACTGTCGCTACTCGCTTACAGAAATACTACTGCGATGCAGAGGGGATAGCAATTCTGAGATTTGTTTGGGCATTCTTTTTGTTTTTCGTGTTTTCTAAATTCAATGCGATGGATATTGAAAACACTAATACTATATGATTGAATGTTTACTAACATATAAGGGTACTTCTTTTCAATTAATTTTCTATTTGGACCGTGTTTAATGATAAAGACGTTATTGGATAATATGAAATGTAGCGCTTGCAGAGGGTTGACCGAGGCATCAGTTTTGTTTTCTGAACACATCTATCTGATACAATTCGCATCCAAATCTATGCTCTAAGCACTTATCAAACAGCTGTTTTATTTGTTAACATCTAAAAGACCATAATCGTATTAATTTTATTGTATTGTCTCTAAAAATTAGCTGATTAAATCTTCTCCTAAGGTACTTTCCTTGCAAAAATACTGGCAGTAAACAATTTTTCTCAAAAAATGATTAATAAATCATAAAGAGAAAACATAAACGGAATCAAGCTAAGTAAAGATTCGAAGAGAGAATTTATTACTTCAATATAAGTCTTTATGCAAAATTAATAGAAAACAAATGTTTAACTATCTTTAGATTTCGTGTAAAATCTTAAGAATATTATCTCCACGACATGGTGAGCTTGTACCAGCCCGCGCTGCGATATTTTTGTCACCATCCCGCCACGTGGTTCGGTAAACATCCGGATCTTTGGGAAGTACGGATATTATTTTTTTCCTGTCCTATTATTATCCTTTCATTATTTTTAAAGTATCTGTTTGAGTATTTCTAAGTCGGACTAACGGTGGTTTTTGATCAGGTTTTTGTGCATTATAATTAAATGTATTCATGTAAAAAAATATCTTCTTCTGACAAAGGATTGAAAACCATTTATTTTAAATATCAGTATGTTTTTATTTGTTTCCATTATAGCTAACGTTAGCTTACTAAATAATAAAGAGGTACTTCTCAGTATAATAACTCTAATTCTTTCCTTAATAATGTAAGTAACAGAGGTCTCAAACTGCACGACCCATCTGTAACCCGTTGAAATTGTGATTGTTGAAAATGCAGAAACAGACAAACAAATAAGATCAAGTATTAATAAACCGTTCTCTACCCCCTCACTTATTACCTACTCCCTTTATCCGGAAATTATAATCACCATCCCAATCCCAGATGTCTCACTGCTGGGCAAGTATTTCCCCGAAAGAGAGAGTTATTACCCACTTTGCTGACCCAATAAAGGTTGGGAATAGTATACGTTTAAAATAATTTGGGTAATTATATTTTATGTTGACTTGTTGGCCATAACTTCAGTAGATTTATTAACTAATCTAGGCGGAATCGGTTCAACTAACAATGTGCAACACCCTTTGCCACTTTGTTGCGATATTGTGAAAGTTTGGAACAGCAAAGACGTGGATAAAATAACACAATGTAGTTTAAGTTAATTTTTTCAATTAATTTTTTGTTAAAGTTTTAATGACTACTGGTTAAGTTGTTAGCATTCTAAGCTTTGCATGAGGAAATTTCTGGTTTTTTTTCCTGTTCAAGTATTCTGTAACATTTGTTATCATAAGAATAATGATTAGAATTATTATTATATCGAGTTCTTAGGTTTTTGACTGTTGCACACAGTACATTAATTTCTTCAACTAAACCAACGTTTTGTATCTTTTACAGGTAACATGGTCACGGCTGACTCTTGGTTTATTGCCCGGAAAATAATGGTTTCATTTCCAGAATTATATCAGTTTACTAAGTTATCAGATTCTTTAACGATGAAGAAAAACATCATAATGAATCTAACATGCAGAAAATTGACATGAGTCCTTGAATAAACAAATTGGGCCATCGTAGTAAACTAGAACCTAAATTATAGAAAACCGTATACAGCAGTGAGACTTACTAGGCTTGATAATAATGATATATTAGAATTACTTATGGAGTTCAGTATAAAAGTCAAACAGGAAAAGAAACGTCCCAGTATGTATTAATAATATATGCATGTAAATATTGGATTCCAGTTGTATCAAAAAAGATCAGATGCGACAAGCCGCTTTAGTTCTTTTGACGCATTCCAAAAATATTTGGCAACAAAAGTGTTTGTACATATGGAAAAAATTGTTTATAATATTTTTCGTACAATATTATTTTCGGGCAACTGAAATATAAGAAAGATAGAGAATGAAACGCATTTTTACCGTTAAAATGACAAATATCACACTGAGAAATAATAAAACAATGGACGATTGTAAGGAACTCAAAAATCATTCAGATCCCTTTAAAGTTGCCAGGACATCTGCCTTTGTACACGCAATATAATTATTGCCAGAAAATGAAACAATTTTTAAATAAAAATTATAATACATTTGTTTGCGTGTATTTGGCTAGGTCAGCCGTGTACATAGAACCCGTAAAGGATCCGAAACGTTGTCTTGTTAAAAAAAATAAACGCAATTTAGATTCTAAGAAATAGTTTCATTTCCTATGTGTAACAATCGCGAAAATCTAAGAACTCGAAAATAATGGTGTGTCTTACAAAGAAGATGCAACTTTCTGTAATTACAAATGTATTATATTGCCCATTAACAAATTAGTTGCTTTTGCATACTTTTGGTCTCACTGCTGGACAAATATTTTCCCAATACTCATCCATGTCTTATGCCTTTTTGGGTCAATATTTAGGAAAGCCAACTGTCAACTTATATTACAATTTGCGCATGGTTATCAGTTGACTCTTCTCAATATCTGACCAAATTAACAGTACTGTTCATTAACAACTTCAAAGTGCCAGATCTGTCCACGAAATTCTTGTTAATTCATGGCAAATGTTTCCATTTCTGGATATGTAAGACAAGTTCCAGGAAAACGGGAATCAGTCGCATTTGATTCGCCGATTCTGCTTGTCGTTCGTTAAGATTAGGGCTGCTAAATCTGAAATTCGATCATTAAATCGGTTATTGACTACATTGTGTTGTTTTGGTTCAAAGCCCTTAATTGAACGTTAATAAAGATACTGGTAGTACAGCACTCCATAACTGGAATTATAGCTTTTAATAGCTGTAGAGATCCTTGCGAAAGAGTTCGTCCAGGGCAGTACTAGCTCCATACCTATTTCTGCTGCTAAGAGTTAATGTTACATTACTGCGTTCTAGTTTTAAAGGGCAAGGGTGCTGGTGAAACTATACGTATATGGAATTTGTCAACTTATATGTCTCAGGGTGACAGACGCAGTGGCAGTGCTCTCCGAGCGTCTTCAACTGTTACAAACGCGCGTGTTGCTTATCCGCTCACGCGATACATGCAGCCGTAGACGCATACCACACCTAGAGGTGCCGGTGATGATTTTATACCGATTTATCGGATATCGAAGTTATAACAGGTAAAAGTACTAATACTAATTGCTATTTCGGTAACTACGCTAGCAAACCATAAAGTTTTTAATGCCTGGATCTATCATTTAAAAAAAATAAACAACTTCAAAAAGACGTCACGACAATCGTGTGTATTATTGTTTGGGCTGGTGATTTCGGTGTTTATTTATTGAAAACATACCGTAAGTAACGTTTTTTAAGTTTACCCTGAATATAAATGTTTATAAACTATACTCTAAGGAGTAATTTCATGGTAAACGTTAGAACCACTCAAACGGAATATTATCATATTTACCCAAGCACACCAAAAATTTCATTAGTGCTTTTTAAATGCAGGATTTACGGTGTATTACTGCATTTTATTTGAGATGTTTTTGTTGTAGTACGGAGGGTATTTATTTACCAATGCAGAATAATAATTTTTATTTATAAAAACTTGTATTTAAACTGAATCCTTTTCTAATTTGCGAACCCAAATAGCCGCTATTTTGCGGTAAGATGAGCGCATCGCGTGAGCGGCTATAACCAAGCGCATAGCGTGTTCATCTCGTCATTTGGTACCATAAAAAAGTAAAAGACAGAAACCGTATATAATAATAAACAACGATTTCATTGCTCTTCAATCCTAGTTAGTTAGCAAGAAGACAAGGAGAAATCACCTGTCACACCACAACTTTTATACTTGTTTGGTAATTAAACGGTTTCAGTGTTCTGGTTAGTTCTGTTTATAAAAGATTTTATCAAAAAAAATCTGGGCTTTCAGTCCCATTCGATTTTCAGTCTTACGTTTGCAGACTTGGTAATGAGATTGTCATCCCTGGTTACTGCGAAGTGGCGTACGTCGGTTCTAATATTAGCACGCTTGTGATGTAACATTAATCTCTTTACTATTTAGTCCTTTATGCAAAATGTGTTTAGCTTAGTTCGGTGAATTATTCTGTGAATAAGATTCATGCAGGAAATCTATCAAGTTATTAATATAATAATATGAAACATTTAAATTAAAAT